CTGGGGATCTGGCCCACAACCTGGGCATGTGCCGTGACTGGAAATCGGACTGGTGACCTCTTGGTGCGTGGGTTGAAACTCAACCACTGAGCCACACCAGCCAGGTGGGACACCTTATTTTATGATACCAGTGTCCCTTGGGGATTTGAGAGGGGACCCTGGGGGCAGCAGTAATATAAATAAAAGGATACAACTGTTATTTCCTATTAGAGTGTAGGCCACGTAACCACTTCTCATTTTATTTGATCATTTCTCTCCAATAAGTGCCTAATATACCATATTTTTTCAGACATGCAACAAATATTTATTGAGCATCATCTCTGTGCCAGGCACTATTCTAGGACCTAGAGATGCTTCAGCGAATAAAATAAAACAAATGGAGCAGATATCCTATAAAGACACTGTAATGCTAAGTTATGAGTTACAAGGGCTTCTGCCAAGTGCCCTTTACTTTTGTGTTAAGTTAACCTTTGACTTGTAAGATATATTTTTAATTTTTTAAACTTATCTTTATTGTTTAATGTATTACAGATGTCCCCTGTTTTTTCCCCATTGACCTCCCTCCTCCCCAATCCCCCCCAGTCCTGCCTTTCCCACACTACTGTCTGCATCCATTGATTGGTTATGCATATATCATAGAAGTTCTTTGGTTTATCTCATCCTGCCCTCCCTCCCCTCTTTGAGGTTCATCAGTCTAACAACCAATTAGCTCTTCTTAATTCCTTCATCTTTTTCATCCATATCCCTAGCTCCCTCCCATCTGGCAAGCAACAAAAAAGTTCTCTGTATCTATGAATCTGTTTCTGTTCTGCTTGCTCATTTTGTTTGTAGATTCTATTGTTGACAGATATTCCTTTAGCTTTTTCTTGTTTGGGAAACTTTATATGTCGATCCATTCTAAATGACAGCTTTGCAGGATAGAGTAATCTTGGTTGTAAGTTCTTGCTTTTCATCAGTTTGAGTATCTCTTGCCACTCCTTTCTGGCATGGAAAGTTTCTTTTGAGAAATCAGCTAACAGTCTTATGAGTGCTCCTTTGTAGGTAACAAACTGCTTTTCTCTTGTTGCTTTTAAGATTCTCTCTTTGTCTTTAACCTTTGGCATTTTTTTTTTTTTTAATCCTCACCCGAGGACATTTTTCGATATTTTGTTAGATAGAGTGTGTGTGTGTGTGGGGAGAGAGAGAGAGAGAGAGAGAGAGAGAGAAACATCGACGTGAAAGGGACACATTGAGTGGCTGCCACCCACATGACCCAACCAGGGCCGGGGACAAACTGCAACCGAGGCATTCGCCCTTAGTGGGAACCGAACCCGGGTCTCTCTGGACCGCAGGCCAATGCTCTAACCGCTGAGCCAAACTGGCCAGGGCAACCTTTGGCATTTTAATGATGATGTGTCCTGGTGTGGACCTCTCGGGGTTCATCTTGTTTGGGACTCTCTGTGATTCCTGGACTTATATGTCTATTCCTTCACCAAGTTAGGAAAGTTTCCTGTTATTATTTTTTCAAATAGATTTTCAATTTCTTGCTCTCTCTCTTCTCCTTCTGGCACCCCCTTGATGGGAATGTTGGTATGCTTGAAGTTGTCCCAGAAGCTTCTTACACTATCCTCATTTTGGGGGTGTTCTTTTTCTTTTTTCTTTTTTAAGAGAGAGAGGAAGTGGGAGGGAGAGAGAAATAGAAACATCGATGAGCGAGAACATCGATTGGCCATCTCCTGCATGCCCCCCACTGGGGATTGGGCCCACAACATGGGCATGTGTCCTGACCAGGAATCGAACTGGTGACCTCTTGGTGCATGAGTCGACGCTCAACTACTGAGCCACACTGGCTGAACAAATTCTTTTTTCTTTCTGCTGTTCTGATTGGGTGTTTTTTGCTTCCTTATATTCCAAATCAATAATTTGCTTCTTGGCTTTACGTACTGTACTATTGATTCTCTGTAAATTATTCTTTATTTCAGTTAGTGCATTTCTGACTTTTTTTTTTTTATATTGTTGATGTTCTCACTAAGTTCCTTGAGCATCCTTATAACCAGTGTTTTGAACTCTACATTGATTGATTGCCTATCTCCATTTTGTTTAATTCTTTTCCTGGATTTTTTTTTCTTTCATTTGGGACATGTTTCTTTGTCTCCTCATTTTGACTGCTTCCCTGTGTTCGTTTCTATTTATTAGGTAGAGTTGCTATGTCTCTTAGGCTTCATAGGGTGGCCTGTTGTAGTAGGTGTCCTGTAGGGTCCAGTGGCACAGTCTCCCTGATCACCCCAGCTGGGCCCTCAAGGTGCACCCTTTGTGTGGACTGTAGACCCTTCTGTTGTAATTGAGTCTTGATTGCTGTTTGGTGCATTGATGGGAGAGATTTACTCAGGCTGATAGCTGCAAGAACTGGCTGTGCCCAGTGAACACTGACCTGACTACCTTGGAGGATCAGCTGTGCAGGGGCCCACCACACAGAGCAAGACTTACTTCAGGAGGGCTCTGGTACCCAGTGAGTCCACTACTTCAGTGTGTCACTTGTGGAGGTGGTTGGATGATGGTGTTTTGATGTGGTCTGCAGCTGTCCACTGCGTGTGCTGGCTCTGGGACAAGGTCAGCCACTGCCTGTGTTCTACCTGGAGCCACCAGGCATAAGTTACAAAGTGATCTGCTAATGACTGCTGCTTGTGCTGGGTTTGGAGTTGCCCAGGCATGGCCAAGCTGAACCAAGGTTAGCCAGGCCTGAGGCCACTTAATGAGAGGTAGGGCTCACTGAGACCAGATGCTGCTTGTTTAAGAGATTTCAGGAAACTCTGAAGCAGGATCCAAGACAGGCCTATCATACGGTGAAGCCACTGGAAACAGCTTGGGTGGTCCTGAAAGTTGGGTGGGGCAGGGCCTCAGGGAATCACCAGGGTGGAGCAGTGTGAGCCAGGTTGCTAGAGTCACAGATATGGTGACTGTCTGCCGCCCTGGGGAAGGGCTCACCAAAGGAACAACAGCCTCCGCCAGCACATCTGTCTGGGAGAAAGTTGCCCCTCCAGCTCTGGCCCTGATGCCAAACAGCTCAGTTCTTCCCTATATGTCTCTGGTGACTTTCAAGCTGCCTCCCTGACGCTGGAGCCTGGAGGGTGAGTCCCAGTAAGTCCGTGCTCGGGCCCTTTAAGAGGAGCTGCCTGGGGCTGCAGCAGCATCAGCCTCAAACCCCCCCCACCCCGGTTTTTCCAGCCAGAAGTTATGGGGATTCTCTTCCTGGTACTGGAACCCTGAGCTGAGCGCCTGGTGTGGGACAGGGATCCCGGATCCCTCACTCCTCAGGGAGGACCTTCCCAGCCGAGGTGTCCTCCTGATTTTTATCCGCCACATGTGGGTGTGGAACCAGCCCGTCCCCTCAGCCCCTCCTACCAGTCTCGATGTGGCTGCTGCTTTAATTCCGTAGTTGTAGGACTTCCATTCAGCTCAATGTCAGGCGGTTCTGAAGGATGGTTGTTCTATAGTTTAGTTGTAACTTTGATGTGGTTGTGGGAGGAGTTGATACCGTGTTTACCTACCCACCATCTTGACTGGAAGTCCACCGACTTGTAAGATATTTTATCTCCTCAAAGGGCTTGAGAATTTGCCTTCTTTCTTTCATTATGTTTATCACTTCCTCCCAAAAAGGAGATGATGTGTGGTGGGGAGGGAGTGGAGCAGCAACTCATCGTGTGTTTTCTCTTATTTCTTTCTCTTTCTTAGTGTTTTCTTTTATTTCATTCTCTTTCTTAGTCTTCACTGAGCAGGTAATTTTCTCCCACAGGAAACCTAGGTGTGGAAACACATTGTCACCTGATTGCTGGGACTCCATTGTTGCAATTACAATGATTTGGGAAGTTAACTTTAATACTTTAATAAAAATATGAATCCTTACTCTGAAAGACTAAGGACTTTGTTATTGGAGTGTAGGTACGCCCAGGTGAAAAACAATATACAGTTGACTCTTGAACAACTTGGATTTATTTTTAAATGCTTTTATTGATTTTTTAGAGAGAGAGGAAGGAAGAGAGAGATAGAAACATCAATGTGAGAGAGAAACATCGATCAACTGCCTCCTGCATGCCCCCTACTGGGGATCAAACCCGCAACCCATGCATGTGCCCTGACCAGGAATCCAACTGGGACCTCTCAGTCCATGGAATAACACTCAGTCCACTGAGCCACACTGGCCAGACTTGCACTGATTTATTTTAAAGTGGCAGAAATTCAATTGACCGGTGCTGTTCAAATCCACGTTGTTCAAGGGTCAACTCCAACGGTTGGGAATCCAAGTATGTGGCTGTAGTTATACATGGATTTTCAACTGCATGGGTAACTCCCATGTTATTCAAGGGTCAGCGGTATATGAAAAAGGTTGCTACCTTTTTAAAAGTATTGTTTTAGTAGTATTACATTTGTGGAGGACTGTAAAGCCCTTCTTTGTTAGCTTTCATCCATTGGGTTTTAATGTTTTATATCACAGGTCAGCAATTCTTGACAAATATGTCATAGAGAGCCCTCAGCTGGATGCCAGAATACACTTCCCCTATTTACCTCTTGTAAGAAGAGCTAGATGTATTGCTGCACTTTCCCCCGAAGGGATTCCCACAGTAGTTTCCCTGCCTAGACATCTGTGACTCTTTCTGTCTCCACGTCCAAGATGGATGCCAAATGGAATGTTACAGCCATCACCAGCTGTTTGCCAGCTCTCTTTTAATCTTGGTTTTGCTATTCTCAAAAAAAAAAAAAAATCAATACTATTAATTGGTTGGCTTCTACATCTGGAGCCATTTTTTTTTTTTTTTTTAAGAACATGGAATTGCCTCTTTAGGTTTATCTTCCACAGGTTTTTAATTATCTAAAGGGAAGTTATTATTTCTGAAGCTACCTTATAACTTTTATGTTTCTATCTGAAGAGAAAGTAGAACACCTTATGGCATTTCATCTGATTGGACTTAATGTCTTTGTTCTCTGCCTGCATTTTGACCACAATATTTCAATATATTTTTCAGGTTTTCAATTCAAAAACAGCAGAACTACTTAGTCATCATCAAGTGGAAATAAAACAAGAGTTTCCAAGAGAAGGGTATGTTTCCTAATTTAATATGTAAACATATATTGTATTTATTAGGCCATCTCATCCCACCTGCCCAGGGGCTTTCTAAAGTAAACTTGACCAAACACCCTCCTGAGTAGACTTGAGGGATGGGATAGGTATCAGTCAGGAAAAGGAGCAATAATTTGGTAGCTCAGCAAAATATTTGGGTGTTTGATGGCTTAGTGACAGAAAAGGGGATGATAAAGTAATAAAGGGAAGATGTATTAAATATCAGAAATCCTACATTAACTTTGAAGTCATTTAGTTTGTGTCTGCATCATTGCCAAACCGGTTTGCTAATTTGAGTGTAAGTAGGTTTTTTTCTTAACCAAAGATATGTTCTTTTAAAAGGCATTCACATTTCTAATACTAAAATCTATTATTTTTTGACAATAATGTTCATATGTAGTAATTGTGATTAAATAGAATGTTAAGTATATTATTTTAAACAGCCATTTTCAACTGGTATACTCTAAGAATTTTTAAAACATGGAATACCTGACTAGTCAGGGGCACTGACCTCTTTTGCCTTAGATTGTCAAATTAAAAAGTGACAACGGCCAGCACAATAGCTGTCCAGTGTAAATGAATCAAAGTATACCTAATTTTTTTTGTCGGATTGACAAAAAAAATTTTTTTGGCGTGCCACAGAAGTTTAGTAATTAGTTTATGTGTACCATGAAATGAAAAAGGTTGAAAATTGCTTATTTAAAATTTAATGACAGGTATGATACAACTGTGTGGCAGTTTCTTATAAAATTAACCATACTTCTGTAGCATTGTACCCTTAGGATTTAATCCAAGAGCAGTGAAAGCATATGTCTAAAGAAAGTCTTATACATGAACATTTTTGGCAGCTTTATGCATAATCACCCAAACTGGAAACAACCCAAATATGGCTGTCATCAGTAGAATGGGTAACAATGAAATACTATTCAGCAATTTTAAAGCAGTGAACTGATACATCAACAACATGGGTGAATTTCGTTGGTATCATGGAAAGCGAAAAGGGCTGGACATGAAAGAAAGCATACTGCATGGCTATATCTGAAATTCAAGAGGCTAGACTAATTTCAAAAGACCAATCCAAATATTGGTTGCCCATGGAGTATGTGATTGACATGAGAGGCATGAAAGAACTTTCTAGAATGATGGCAATATTCCATATGTTGACTGGGGGTGTTGGTTAGATGAGTATATACATTTGTTAAAATTCAACAAATTGTGCACTTTTGATCTATTCATTTCACTGTAAAGTTTACTTCTATTTAAGAAAGAGAAAAGATTGGTGCCCTACCAAACTTTATAATTTCTTTCTATGAAAAATGTTCTGTTTTAAAGAATTCCTTTGTTTAGCAATAAAAGCTACTGATACGTTAGCAGCATTAGAATGATTGTCCACAGGCCTGATCCCGGTGCAGTTTGGAAAGAGGATACATGGGTCTTGGAAGGATGAAAATTAGAACTATGTGGAAGGACATCGGGTTTTTGGAAAAAGAGTTTAGAGACATAGTTCAAAGCTCAGGAAAGCCGCAGGCCTGAGGAAGGCAGAGAAGAAAAGCATTTGGAAGTCTCTTGCTACTTGCAGCACCTAGGGTAGGATTCTTTTCACTTTAATTATTTCTGCTTTTGAGGTTTCCTCAGTTGCCATTTGTTTCTCCCAGGTTTCTCTGCCTCATCATTTATTATAAACCTTTCAGCCTTCTGAGGCCCTGGTACCTTACCAAACTTGCACTGGGATTGTGTCTGAAAACTTGGACCAATTACTTGTTTACTTGAAATAGTTATTAGAATAAATTTAAAATATCCCCTAAATACTAACAAAACATTTTGAGGGGGAAAATGTCAAAATAGATTAGTATACTTATTTGACTTTTCAGAATTCCTTTTGCTAGCTAGCTAGATGGATATCAATTTACTTGGAAATAACTTTAAAAAGAAAGAAATAGTGACTAGGGAAACATGCCGATAGTTTATCAATTTATCAAACCCACAGGATATAAAGAATTGGGGAACTAATTTTTTATTGGATTTGAAAAAATTATTTAAAAATAGAGTACTTGCCATTTTGTGTCCTGTTATTACCTCCTTTCAAATGATTGATTACTGTATGAAGAATAATAAAAACATAAGGGAAATAAAATAGGCTTTTCTTTAAATCATTTCTTTAGAGTATTGAATATGCTTTGCTTTGCTCATCTGATGTTAATTTCCTCAACAGCCATACTCTTATAAGTGAACATTTCTAGAGATTTGAATTACAGTTATATTGCTTTCTTGTAGACTAACCGAATGCATTCTTTTGTTCAAAGATGGGTGGAACAGGACCCTAAGGAAATTCTGATGTCTGTCTATGAGTGTATAGAGAAAACATGTGAGAAACTTGAACAGCTCAATATTGACATTTCCAACATAAAAGGTATTTTTAATAGAATATTTTTCTCCGTGGTATGATTATCTCAATCAAATTCATTCATTCAGCACATAATTGAGTGCCTATGTAGTGCCAAACATTTCTGGGAAAACTGAGAATACAACAATAAACAGGAAGATTAGGTCCCTGTTCTCATGAAGCTTTTATTTTGGTGGGTTTGAGACCAATAATAAAAACAGACAAATACAAGCTAATTTCGATACTGATAAGTTCCATGCAGAAAATGAAACTGAGTTACATGGTAGGTTGTGCCTAGAGAGGCTTACTTGATATTGGAGCCAGAGAAGGCCTCTTTGAGGAGGTAACACTGTTACTGAGATCTCAAAGGCCAAAAGGGGCCAGCCATGCAAATATCTGAGGAAAGAGTATTTGAGGAAAAGGAAGCAGCACATGCAAAGGTCCTGAGATAGGAATAAGCTTGTGGCACATTCCTGGATCAGAAAGAAGGCCAGGATGTCAAAAAGTAGAGTAAAAGAGGGGTGAGGGGTGAGGAATGAAGGTGGGTAGGTAAGAAGTTTCAATAGGAGCTGAAACGGGGGATAGGGCTTTGTAGTACCAGTTAGGAGTTTGGATGTTATTCTTAGTATCACAGAGAGCCATGCAAAGGTTTTAAACAAGATAACAAGGGATGACAGGATTTTATTTGTGGTTTAAAGACAACTTCCTGGCTGTTGTGCAGAGCCATGTGAAAAGTGGATGGCAAAGGCATCAGTGCACACAGGGAGACCAGTGTAGAGGCTGCTGTGGAAGTCCTGAAAGAAAGGATGGGGGCCCTGGCCGGTTTGGCTCAGCGGTTAGAGCGTCGGCCTGCGGTCCTGAGAGACCCGGGTTCGGTTCCCGCTAAGGGCGCGTACCTCGGTTGCAGTTTGTCCCCGGCCCTGGTCGGTCGTGCGGGTGGCAGCCACTCGATGTGTTCCTTTCACATCGATGTTTCTCTCTCTCTCTCTGTTCCTCTCTCTCCCTCCCACTCTACCTGAACAAAAAATGGAAAAATGTCCTCGGTGAGGATAAAAAAAAAAAAATAAAATAAAAAAAATAAAAAATAAAAAAAAAAAAAAAAGAAAGGATGGGGACAGTGAGGGTGGGGAGAAAGGGGATGCCAGAGCAGTAAAGAGAGGGTGAGGGGAAGGTGGGTCAAAGATAATGCTTGGACCCGGCCAGTGTAGCTCAGTGGTTGAACACCGACCCATGCACCAGGAGGTCGCCAGTTTGATTCCCAGTCAGGGCACATGCCCAGGTTGTGGACCCGATCTCCAGAAGGGGGCATGCAGGAGGTGGCCAATTGATGTTCTCTCTCATCGATGTTTCTATCTCTTTCTTCCTCTCCCTTCCTCTCTCTCTAAAATCAATAAAGAAAAAACTTTAATAAAATACTAAACATAATCAAAATAATTCATTCAGCAAACCTATAGAGGGCCTACTATGTGCTGGGTGTGCTAGGAAAACAATGGAGCATGGTAGGGTTGCACAGTTGATGGTCAAGTGGAGGGAACAAATGTTAATCCAATAATCACAATAATTGCAAATTAATGGAAAATAGTAACAATAATATTTCTGTTATTGCAGATTTTTAAGAGAAATAAACACCCATGTGTATATTTGATATGTTGTTGACAATTTTTCAATATCATATCCTTATTTTATCCCTACATCTAAGTGAAAGTGTTTCAAACTTCTTTTAGGGTTGCATTCACCAAGATTCAGATGAGTTGTGCCTCAAAGTGATTGTTGGTTGCTTCCTGAAATTGTTCTCATAACTTTCACAGTCTAAACCGCCTGAACATATAAGAGACATTCAATAGCACCTTCTGTTGTCAAAACATTCAGAATCACCTAGGTGACTTAAAGCTATGTACTGGATGTAGATTCCAGGACAATTGGCCATGGTTTTGACATCATCCTTCCTCCTTTTCAGGTAAAGCAGGCTGCAACCCATTGGCCTTCTGTACCCATTCTTGTGCCATTCTCTTTTCTCTTGTTTGTGGTGTATGTGAAGGTGACATACAACTCCAGTCCAAATGACTTGTCTTCCACTTGTACTAACTGGTCTGTAAGAATACTGAACACGCTGCTCTCTGCTCTACACTCCTTTGTCTGGATATATGAAAACACATAATTGAGCCAAAATGACCCAACACTTCCTTCTCAGTAGAGCCTATGACCAAGGAAGAGAATGTTCCACAAGCCCCTTCACATCAAGCCAGTCAGTTGTGCTAAATTTTTCCCCCAGATAATGTATTAATTGGCTCTGACAAGGGCCAAGTTTTTGCTTGTCTATATAGAACTCTACATCACAGAATACCAATGCTATAAAGGATCTTTGGTCACCTAGACTTAGGTGCAAGTGAGGGGAAGAGACTCATTGTAGGTCATGTAGCTGTGCAGTGGTAGATGATATTAAAGCACAACTCCGCTGTCTCCTGGACCTCTGCTCTTTTTCCTGAACCACACTGATGATAACCTCACAGACCTTCAGTTTTTAGTTCCAGTGTTGCAAATAAATAGATAAATAGATAGGGATGCCTTTCAGACTTTTTTTCTCCCACTGAAGAGTGATTTGTTATTTGTAGTCTTACCTGATAATCATTGAGTTCACCATAGCTCAGTGATTCTCAACCTTCCTAATGCCGTGACTCTTTAATACAGTTCCTCATGTTGTGACCCCCAACCATAAAATTATTTTTGTTGCCACTTAAGAACTGTAATTTTGCTACTGTTATATCTTAGGCAACCCCTGTGAAAGGGTTGTTCGAACCCCAAAGGCGTCACGACCCACAGGTTGAGAACCGCTGCCATAACTGGTTGTATTTCTTTTGCAAATTCCAGTTTCATTGGTTTTAGTTGTCTTCATTTGTCAGAAAGTTGGTTGATTTCAGGTCCCCATGAACAATGTCTCCAAAATTTAAGTTCACTTTCTAGCTGGGCAGCACATGTGAGCACAAGACAAGTAAATAGGCCGCTTCTTTTCTTCCTGACTTAGAGAGTCGGGCAGATCTGTTTTCCTGTCGCTTATACTGCATATCTATGATGTACAGTCTACATACAGGGTGGGCAAAAGTAGAGTTGTGAGTACATGAAGCACAGAGTTTATTTTTGTATTATTTATTCATTTATTATTTTTCATATGAAAAACTGAAAGCCTACTTTTGCCCATCCCTGTATAAAGAAATACTTTATTCACTTTATTTTAAGAAGAGTGCATATTTATGCTTATCAAAGCCTATAATATTATCTATGAGAAGATGATGCCAGATTCAAAATAAAATAGCCCTGGCCAGTTTGGCTCAGCGGCTAAAGCATCGGCTTGCAGACCGAAGGGTCTCTGATTTGATTCCGGTCAAGGGCCTGTACCTGTCAGGGTCGTGCGGGAGGCACCCAATCAATGTATCTCTCTCACATCGATATTTCTCTCTTTCTCCCTCCCTCCCATACTCTCTAAAAAAATCAATGGAAAAATATCCTCAGGTGAGGATTAACCAAAAAATAAATGATAATAAAATAAAATTTACATTATGTTGTTATAGTCTTAATTTATAATTTTCACATCTAAAGTAGTGTTTCTAACCATTAAGCCCATATGGTATGATCAAATTATAGTAGTGTTTGAATCAGGGAGTCACTGATCTAGATAACTTTAATTAATTATTCTTCAGAAGAAAACATATTACAATGTCAGATACTCTTCATTCATCCTCATGCGATGCAATCAAAACACAACATAAACTATTTCACAGTTGAGAGCATAACAGTCTCAGCAGTTGGACTGTCTTATATATCAAAAGTGGTTCTTTTAGTGTTGGAGAAAAGGGAAACCACCACATCTATTCCTCTGCTGCTGGGCCCTGCCCTACATACCCATTTTCATCACCTGAGACTCAGGGGTCTGAGAAAGATACCCCTGAGAAAGATACCCCATTCTCCTAAAGACCTTCCCAGCAGTGGCCACCATCTCATTTGCAATTGTTACAACTTGGCTCAAGCAAACACTGTCCAGAGACTGTTTTCTTAAAAAGTTTTATGCCTCCTCCCACATGGCACTTTGATTATATTGCACTGTGTCTTTAGTTTTGTAAAAACGTGTTCCAACTATAAATGATGATTTTATTTTATTATTATTTTTTCCTCACCCAAGGACATTTTTTGCATTTATCTTCAGATAGAGCAGGAGGAAGAGAGAGCCATGTGAGAGAGACACATCAACTGGTTGCCACCCACATGACCCCAACCAGGGCCGGGGACAAACTGCAACCGAGGTACATGCCCTTAGCAGGAACCGAACCTGGGTCTCTCTGGTCCACGGGCTGACACTCTAACTGCTGAGCCAAACTGGCCAGGGCAATGATTTTATTTTTAAATAGGGATGCATGTCATCCATAACTCTACCAAGACAACAATTATAACATCCTGAAGTATTTCCAGAGGCTTTTTTCGAAGTATATTTCCTTAACTGTGATGCTAACTTTTCACAGGCACACTTAAGCAAAATTGAGCCAGAGGGGTTGACTGTAGCATTCCAACTAGTTAATTTCACTAGCGATACTCAGTGTTAAGAAAAATACGCACACCCTCCCCGAGAAAGAATATATATGTGAAGCAGGAACCTGCTAGATATAAGAGTATTACATTGGGTTTACATATGCCAATGATTATAGCATCTCTAACTAAATTTGAGACCAGGAAATATATACTTTATGCATGTAACTTTCATAGCTTTTTTTTTTTTTTTTTTTTTTTGGTACGTGCCCCTAGCGGGGACTAAACCCGGGACTCTCTGGTCCGCAGGCAGATGCTCCAACTGCTAAGCCAAACCGGCCAGGGCTTCCATAGCTTTTAAATGGTAGATGAACTAGGGTGAAGAATTGCAAAACCTGAATGTGTTATTCTGAGAAAGAGAAAATTAAAATAACTATTAAGATACACACATGTGCTGGGATTAGCAATCAGAAAACTTAAAAAACAAAACAGGATTTCAGTGTAAAAGTGACAAGAAGTTAGAACACTGAGAAGGTTCAGAGGTACCACATAAGGCCGGTGTGCCCTGGGGAGAAACCAGTATTAGAGGTGTGTTTATGGCTGGAAGAGAATCAGGAGAAGCTATTTCATTGGAATTGGTATACAAGAAAAGCAATTTTACTTGGCACAAAGGAACTGAATTAAGATAGAAAGGAAAGAAGGAGTGGTCAGGGCAGAACCTGTGATCAATGAATCAGATGGAAATAGCTGTGAATTACATTCTGAATACAAATTAAAATGAGCCCACTGAGGTCTCTAGCCTCTGTTGTGCCCACAGTACTGCTAGGGAACTCATTTCTGCTTTGCCCAGTCCCATTCTCAGCAACTCTTACTTCACTCTCTCTTAAGTAATGATGACAATGAATGGCAACAGTAAGCAACATTTATTGAGTGCTTACTATGTGCCAGGCACTATTTTAATATGCATTACCTCAGGGATTCCTCTCTGTAATCCTGTAAATTGGGAACTGTTATCCTCATTTTACAGAAGATTAAACTGAGACCCGGGGTCACGCTGCTAGGAAGCAGAGGAATTAGAATTTAAACCCCAGCAGTCTGGCTTCAAGAGCCTGAGCTTTGCTGAATAGTGCCCCAAATTTGCCATCCAACTTATTCTAGGCCCTATTTCAACAAATAAACTTGTGTGCTTCACAGAACAAGTTGAGGTTCTGGGGCCTTAATTCCCCAACTTCCTCTTTCTGTACTTAAATGTCTGGCTGGATCTCTTGGCGCCTTCCTTCCGCCTTCCCTCCGGCACAAGGGAAGCAGTAGCCTTCTGCCATACTTGAGGCTCCTCCCTCCACCTGTGTATTAATCCCTTCCCCTCTTGTCACTACAAAGATCAGGACCATGTCCCACTGATTCCTAGACTTCTTTCCCCACCCTGCCATTCTCCTTTCTCTTCTTTAGTCCTGCAAACATTTGTGCCTTCTATTTTTTTCAAAGGTGAATTTTGAGCTTTTATTTATTTATTTATTTATTTATTTATTTATTTATTTTAAATATGTTTTTATTGATTTTTTAGAGAGGAAGGGAGAGAGAGAAACATTGATGTGAGAGAAACATCTATCGACTCCCTCCTGCACACCCCCTATTGAGGATCGAGCCTGCAACCCAGGCATGTACCCTGACCGGGTATTGAACTGGGATCTCTCAGTCCACCATACAATGCTCCATGCACTGAGCCACACCAACCAGGCTGTGCTTTCTATTTAAAGAATAATTCCCCCAAATCTCTTCCTTTTACCCTATGCCTCTAATTTTCCTTGAAGTAGAATCTCAATCATAGCTGTGCCTCTAGAAAAGGTGGTAAATAAAGTAAATAAATCTGCATTGGATAAAGATTATTTAGAACAAGGGAGCTGCTGGTCACCCTCAGCTCTGTGTTGGTCCTAATGTTCTTACTGTGTTTTTTATTTTTTTCTTTATTGATTTTAAAAAGAGAGGAAGGGAGTGGGAGGGAGAGACAGAAACACCTTGAGAGAGAACATAAATTGGCTGCCTCCTGCATGTCCCCCACAGGGGATTTGGCCCACAACCGGAGCATGTGCCCCAACCAGTAATCTAAAAGGTGACCTCTCGATGCATGGGTCGATGCTCAACCAGTGAGCCACACCAGCCGGGCTGTTCCTATTGTGTTTTATTCTGGGTGTACAATTTGAGTAATACAGATAATTGCATGTTCCTAGGAGAGGAGGCATATTCCATATGGAGGCAGGGGCTATGGAAGTAAATGTGACTGTTTAGCCTAGACAGGGAAAGAGAACAATTGAGGGACAAAATAGCTGCTTCAAGTATGAAAGTATGACATGTGGGAAGAGGATTAACCTTAATCTGTGTATGTCCAAAAAACATAGCTAAGACCTAAAGGTGGAAGCTACAAGGAAAAGGATTTTATTTATTTATTTATATAAATTAATTTTTTTGCCTTTATTTACTTTAGAGAGAAAAGAAGGGAGAGAGAGAGAGATAGAAACATCATGAGAGAGAACATCAATTGGCCGCCTCCTGCATGCTCCCCACTGTGGATCAGGCCCACAACCTGGGCATGTGCCCTGACCGGGAATCAAACCGGCGACCTCCTGGTGCGTGGGTTGACACTCAACCGCTGAGCCACACTGGCTGGCCAAGGATTTTATTTTTAATAGCAAAGCTATGCAATAGAGATTGTCTGCCTGGAGAGAGGTAGTGAGTATCTTTTCACTAGATGTGCTGTCTGAATGGTCACATGACAGGCAATTCTAGGAGATGTGAGGACAAGATGTGTTGTTGATATATATAGCCTTTAAGGTCTGTCCTGATCTTACGTTCCAGAAGAGCTCGATTTTTTTTTTTTTAAACCCAGTGTGTTCAATCTGGTCTTCACACTAGAATCACCTGGGGAATTTTAAGAAAAAATATTAATGCTCAAATCCCACCCTAGGTCAGTTAAATCAGAATGTTTGGGCCAGGGCTTGGACATTGGTATTTTTTTAAAGCTCTGTAGCCGATTCTAATTTATATCTAACCTGGAAACCTCTGATTTAGCTGAATCAAGCAGAATTAAATAAGATGGTATGGATTCAAATTGTACTTATAGTAACTTACTGTAACTATAGCACTTGAGTTGTATGTAGATCAGTATAATGTAAATGCCATCATTTATACTTAGATTTAATTCAAACTTGTATGTCTTATATTATTATTAAAATACAGAAATAAAATTGAATTTCTAACTAACCATAAGATACATTTACCCAGCATCAAGTATCTTCTCTGTGGCTATTTTCTTAAAATACAGGTGTATACATACACGCACACACACACACATACATGCCTACATGCACACACATGGAAGGAAATTTCTTGTAGCAGTTAGTAAATAAATGAATGAGGTGATTGTTGGTCTCAGAATAATAAATTAGGTATTGTAAATTTGGAAAGTTAATGCATTCCCTTTTTTAAAATATGTTTTTATTGATTTGAGAGAGAGAGAGATAAATATTGACATGAGAGAGAAACATTGATCAGCTTCCTCCCGCACACCTTAGACTAGGAATCAAGCCCGCAACCCGGGCATGTGCCTTGACTGGAAATCAAACTATCAACCTTTTGGTGCATGGGATGACATTCAACCAACTGAGCCACACCAGCTAGGGCATGGATTCCCTTTTTATAAGGTAACCTGGGAGCCTTTCATTTGGATATTGATCTGGGTTCATGTCATCGTGTGCTGGGAGTGAAGCAGGAAGGAGTCTGTAGCAATAAAAAGAAGACCTTGACATTGGGTGTTTACTTTTCCTGAGGCCACTTAGAGAAAATAAACTCAGTACCACTACAAGTGTTCCAGATGGTTTTCTGAATTGTTATGTTTTAGTTATGCCTATAAAAAAAAATGAAAACTATTCTGAAATAGTTTTCGTCTTGCTTAATTTTCTACTCCCTTCTGTTTAACTTTGTTTTTAAAGCTATTGGTGTCAGTAACCAGAGGGAAACCACTGTAGTCTGGGACAAGATAACTGGAGAACCTCTCTACAATGCTGTAGGTAAGCTGTTGTGCATGGATGTCAAATGCAAGGCCTTTCTCCACTTGCAAATGTTGTCATACTAAACTATCCGGCTAAAAAGCATGCAGTCATGATTCCTATAATTTGATGGGATGGACAGAAGAGTTCTCTAAGGAAATCATTGTTATTTATACACACACACACACACACCATTTTTAGCTATTTATTCACATCTTGAATTGACTCTCTTTCCCCTTTATCTGATTATTTGTATTATACAAATGCCGGTCGATGTTGCTAGAACTGTTTTATAATCCCTGCTGTTTCTGACACCTAAAAGAGATCTCCACTCCTCCTCCCCTCAACAATCAAAATTACAAATGTTTGTAGTCATCTCTCTATAAAGCACTTGTGTACTTGGTCTTCCCACCTGGGAATTTGAATTGATTCTTTTGAGGTTATGAAAATTTCAAAATTTTAGCTCCTTCTGTACAAATGAGCTATTTCAGTATGAGTTCAAAAACTCAGTCTCAAACACATCACTATTCGATATCATGTCTTATTAAATGTAAATGACCATGGTTATATTTTAGCACCATTCTTAGAACATGACAATTGAGCACTGAATGATTATGTCACTTGCTAAAAGGGAAATTGTGTTCTAAATATGTAATCACTAAAAGGCATCATTCTGTCACAAATAGCAATGCACAATTTTTGTCAAAATACCAGAATCTGGGGTGGGGAATGGAGGCAGAAATCATCAGAGATGGGATGATTTATACAATGAGCTATTTTTACTTTAGTAATATGGTAGTTACTTTAGTATTAATTGGAAGAAAGTGATATTTAAGCAGAAAATATATTAAAAGGAAGCCTGTAAGAGTAGCATGAACCCTTTGTAAATACTCTTTATGAAACACTAAGGCATTTAATGTTACTGTGTTATAGAAAGCATTTAGTATGTCGTCTGTATTTATGATTTTTAAAAGACTCAAAAGCTGTCAAACTGTCAAAGAATTGCAACCAAAGGTCCTATTACACAAAAGTACATCTTTTAAATCTTTATTTTGTCCTCATTCTCATGAGCAGCTTATGTTGAATATAAGTAAAGCAGAATGTTATAATTTTAAGGACTAGTACCTATGAGAGTATTGTTTCACAGGTCAAGTTTAGCCAACTTCTTGAACTAGTTCGGGCTTTTCTTTTTTCCTGGTGAAAGGAAGAGCCTACACAAAGGAACCAGAAAGTTCCTGTTAAACTCTAAACTCGAGTTGTAAAAGTGCAACTTTGGACTTTGAGTTGTCATTTTAAAATAATGCAACTAGGTTAGTTGAAGTTATGCTTATAGTGTAGGATTTCAAGTAAATGTTTTACCAGAAAAACTTTGTTTGCGATGTGCTTACTCATTTCCTTGTCTTCTACCTGTGTCCCTCTGTGCCCCTGCCCCATTCGCTGTGCTTTGGAGTATTAATCCCAACCATACCTATGGAATATGAAGAACTTTTTCTCTTTACTGAACCAATTGCATGTTCTGAGAACTTCTTATATGTTTAGTGCTATATTGGGTGTGTTGTGGAGGATAGGAATTATTGGCTGTTTTTTTTTAAACACTTTATAACCTAGTTTTGGAAAGAGACTAATACAAAATTAGGGAATAGTTGATAAATTGTATGTTGCTAAATTGAAGAATTAGGTTAGTATGGATTTTGAATTGTTGGCATGTCTTTGAGGAAGGTTGAACTCCATTTTAGGCCTCAAAGAATGTATTGCATTATATTAGGAAAAGGGAGAATTGAAGGATAGTGTAAACAAGCTATGACAGTGAAACTGTGTACACTTGTTTCACCAACGAGTGAAGAGATGATCAAATTTGAGCATAGGGTGACTTATTTAAGAGTTTTAATAGAACTAGCAGTGATAATAAGTGCTAACTGCTGTTACTGTGTACTAGGGATCGTGCTAAACACTTTACGCATATTATTTAATCTCAATGACCTTGAAATAGGTTTTACTAGCCTTATTTTCTTTTTTTATCCTCACCCAAGGACATTTTTCTATTTATCTTCAGATAGAGAGAGAGAGAGAGAGAGAGAGAGAGAGAGAGACATCGATATGAGAGAGACACATCAACTGGTTGACTCCTGCAAGACCCCAACCAGGGCCGTGGATGAACTGCAACTGAGGTATGTGCCCTTGACCGGAATCAAACCTGTGACCCTTTGATCTGCAGGCTGATGCTCTAACCACTGAGCAACCTGCCAAGGCTAGCCTTATTTTCTAAATAAATTATAGAAATGCTATATAATTCATCCAGTGCCATATAGCTATAAGTAGAGGTAAAGCCCATTTGAACATAAACCTCTCCAACCCCAAAGCCTGTGTTCTAATTTGGATAGATGGGGGTTGACGAAGACAGAGAGGGCACTGGAAATCATGCCCTGGGCAGCAAGGGACAAAAGTGGTGGGATGGTTATTTCAAGTGCACCTATCTGCTGAGAATAGCTAGAGAAGTGGAACAACAACAAAAAACTATCTGCCCGGTTGGTGTGGCTCAGTGGACTGAGCATTGTCCTGTGGACTAAGAGGTCCCGGTTCGATGCCCGGTCAGGGCACATGCCTGGATTGTGGGCTTGATCCCCAGTGGGGGGGGGTACAGGAGGCAGCCCACTGATGTATCTCTCTCACATCAATGTTTCTCTCTCTTTCTCCCTTCATCTCTCTCTGAAAAAAATCAATAAAACATTTTTTAAAACTATCTGAAGGACTGGAAGACTACCAAGGCAGTGATGAATTGTTGAACCAATATCCCAGATAGAAGAAAAACTCAGGGAGGTGGGCCTGGCATTTGGTGTTGTTTATTCCCTAGAGATGTCTATAGATTGTAAAAGGAGTATCTGAGAGGCTAAGCAGCACTGTCATAGGTTGTGAAGATAGGGAGGCAAAAGATGGAGTCAGGGGCTGCCAAGGGTGGGGATGAATATTGGTAAAAATCACAAACTTTTTAAAAATATATGTTTTTATTGATTTTAGGGAGAGAGGAAGGGAGAGAGAGAGAAACATCCATGTGAGAGAGAAACATTGATCAGCTGCCTCCTGCATGCCCCCTACTGGGGATTGAGCCCACAACTCGGGCATGTACCCTGACCTCTCAGTCCATGGGGTGGCGCTCAATCCACTGAGCCATACCGACCAGCTAAAATTACAAACTTTTTTTTTTATCCTCACCCGAGGACATCTTCCCATTTTTTTGTTCAGATAGAGTGGAAGGGAGAGAGAGAGAGAGAAACATCGGCGCGAAAGGGACACATCAAGTGGCCACCACCCGCACGACCCAACCAAGGCCAGGGACAAACTGCAACCGAAGTACACGCCCACAGCAGGAACCGAACCCGGGTCTCTGTGGACCGCAGGCCAATGCTCTAACCACTGAACAAAACCAGCCAGGGCAAAACTACAAACTTTTGATTGGGAGGGTTAATCCTAAAGTAAGGTAAACTGAAAATATACCAACCTTCACAGGAATTGAAGCCCTGATTCAGATAATTTAAAACCCCAATTAGATCAAGATATTCTGAGATTACTAATGTTCCTAGTCTAGCTTCCTTTTAGAATTTTCATATACAATTTTTAGTTTTCTATAAAAGAATAATCAGGCATACAAAACAAGACATGACTAAAACCAACAGAAACAAGCAACATTAGAAACAAGACACATAGGAAATCCTGATATTAGAGTTCTCAGACTTTAAAATAACATGATCAGCATGTTCAAGCAATTCATTGACAAGATGGATAACCTTAGCAAAAAATTAGAAATTTAAAAGTTGAAATTCTAGAACTGTGTAAAAAACTCGGTTGATGAGTTTTATATCACATTTGACAGAGCTAAAGATCAATTAGTGAACCAACCAGAAGAAAGATCAGAAGTAAATATCCAGACTGAAGGACAGAGAGACAGAGGTTTAGAAAATACAGGAAAAAAACTAAGAAAAATATGGAGTAGGTGAGGAGGCCCAACATATTTGTAATTGGAGTCCCAGAAGAAAAGGAAAGAGATAATAAAGTTTTTGAAAAGGGATGAAAAATATCACAGAATCAAGAAACACTTTGATCCCCAGGCAAGATGAATGCAGAAAGCTATACATAAATATATGCTGAGACCTGAAGATAAAAGACCAATTTTAACATAAGCAGATATAGGAGAATTTCAGAGTATTGTTAGTGAACATGAAATACATTTGTAGAAGAAGCTGAAGACTGAGGAAGGCTATTTTTTATGCTTGTGGTAAAGGTGTGTTTGTATACTGACATCTTTTAACAACAGATACAATTAAAAACATAGACAAAAGTTCAAATGGGTCTATTGAGTCACAGATGACCCATGTTAGTAGTTTCATATAGTTTTAGAATTTGTGTGTTCATTCTCTGAGCAAGGTGTGGTATCTAAAATGAAGAAGTATCACTGCATCACTGCTTCCCAGTCACTGCCATGATGCAACCATTTATTATGACCTCACAGGTGAATTGCAGGAGCTTTGTGGTCCCAGATCTGAACCGGGCCTTTGGCTACTCTCGCCTGTCTTTAGTTATCTTCGTCCCTCTGGTACTTTTCTCTCTCCCTCTTAGCATTATTTTCATCAATATTCTTTTCCAAAGAGTTCCCACCACCCCACCCACTCTCCTTGCCATTTTTCGAAGGCCTTTTCTTCCAAAACCAACTTTATTAGTGGTCTATACACCTTGGTATCTAAGTATGATTGAAAAAGGGTTTGGGTTTATAAATACACTACAGACTAAATTGATAAAGAAGTACAAAACTACCCAAGTGGTTTCAATGTCAAGTGGGGAAAGGCAGGAATGAATGATGGGTAGTGTGTTCCTATGCACATTTCACTAATGCCACCAGTGAAATGTTCTGGCCTAACTAGAATACAACATAGTAAGAACCAATATCCAGGGAAGCAAGAGCCACTGACTAAAGACATTCAATGTATTAAAGAGAACCACTAGCAAAAACATTTGTCTCTGGAACAATT